CTGACAGATGCCTGACAAAAGCAGCATAAGGACAGAAGGGATTGTTTGGGCTCACTGTTTGAAGGCAGAGTCCACCATGGCAGAGCAGCTGAGGCAGCAAGAGCGTGAGGCAGCGGGTGGCACTGTGTTCTCAGTCAGGAAGCAGAGGGAGATGAAGGCGGAGCTCCACTCACCTTTTCCTCTTCCTGAAGTTGGGGACCTCTGCACCTGGGATGGTGACATCATGCACTGTCCCAACCCACTTAAGCCCTCTCGAGAGCCCCTCCCTCACACACCCAACCGCTTGTCTCTCAGGTGACTCTACAGCCTGTCAGCACTAACCAGGACAATCACTGTTGCTGTTTTTTTCATGACAAAATGGAAAAAAGTAACATTGTATGTCAATTTCATTAACAGTTCTGCTGAACAGCCAAAGCCAAATCCCAGAAATAAACAAGAGGGTCCATTTCTCTGAATGTTCCTCATAATGCCTGTACCTGTTAGTGACATTGTTTGTTTGTTTGTTTTTGTTTTTCTGAGAGATGGGGTTTCCATTTTTAATAGATTTGTCTGTCCTGGAACTCACTCTGTAGACCAGGCTGGCCTCAAATTCAGATTTGCCTGCCTTTGCCTCCCAAGTTCTGAATGAAGGGCATGCCTGGCAGTGACATTCTTAATAATCTTGTTGTCAAGCCCTAGGAAGTCATTTCAGCCTTCATGGAAAGAAGTCCCACTTTGAAGAAGACATGGAAGTTAGTACTTTAAAGTTATAGTTCTATTCAAAATACCTAAATTTTATATATCTATAGGATGTAGTGAATCCAAAACAACACCCCCCCCCAAAAAATTATGAGTATTGCTAAATTCTTCCAGGGTAGCATTCACTGTGTTTGTTTATTATAAAATAATACTTTGTTTTTCTAGTAGTTTTCATTTTAAAATATGATTTTTATAAGGTAAAATTTGCATTTCTCAAGATATGAAAAGCCAATAACTAGATCCCCTAGTTTCTTTCTTTTTTTAACAAGAGGTAAGGACTTGTGCCAAAGCAACACAGTTCAAGACACCCTGCCCCAACAGTGTCAGGAAAAGTGAAACAAAGCCACTGACTGCCACGCCAGAGTCCTTCGCTGTTTGGCCAGGAGTTCCTCAGTTCTCTGAGTGTCCAAGCCAGAGCTGCCATGATCAGCGGAAGAAACAACAAAGATGACTGAATTACACAGAGAACAAAGTGAGATTTCATAGAGCATATTGTATGCAATGCTCTTTCTCGTGAACGCCTTATGAGGTGCATATCTCCACCTGGTATCTATTTTACAGATGAGGGAAATAAGGCCCTAAGCATCACTGTGATGTGACTAAAATATTGCTAAACTATAATAAAAAAAAACAATAGGAGATATACTAGTGTACTATGCATTCCAAGTTAACCTTTGAGAGACTGCTAGGATAATAACTTGTTTTCTCATTGGCTGCCTAAATTATTGCTTTATCAATTTTCATATTATCATATTTTGCATAGGATTCATATAAGTTTCTAAAAACTGCTTGGCTAAACCACTGCTCTAGGATATATATACTCCCCATGGTGAGGAGGAGCAATGTAACTCCCAAATTTTTGGTTCTTGAAGGCCAGAAACTTTAGATACTTGAGTGGTTAGCTCTCTTCTTCCTAGGGGCCAAGAACATCATCATGTGTCCAGGGTTTCTGTGGCATTAAAATCTCACAGTGTGAGGAGGACTATCTTATAAGGAGAAATAATACAAGGAGACCAACAGTGCTCTAAGGAGTTAGGACCAGAGATCCTGAGACAGAGAAAAAGCAAGCTTGGTCTTCGTGCAGTCAGAGAAGGCCACCGACTGTAGTCAGTCTGTGAAGAGGTCTCTTTGGACTCCTCCCCACTGGGTAAGCCTTGCTCACAACATTAGAAACTTCTGCCCACACAGACATTTACAAGCTCTGACCTTTTTTGTTTCTGAGAGGGGACCTTACGTTTATTTTCGTTTCACTGAAGGAGAAACTGAGATCTAGGGAAGTAGTAAATGCTTGACCCAAGGGCACAGGAGCATTTGTGGGCCTCACAGCTTATACCGGAACCACACCCTGCACGGGGAGGACGAGTGCCCCCAAAACGCATGGCCGACGAATAGGAGACAGAGATTCGGTTGGGAAAACCAGGTGAAAGAACCAAGTGGGTGCTCACCACCTATTTCATACCACCATTTGATGGGATGAGAAAGAAGAAGGAAAGAAAACACACCTAAATAAATTTCCCCACCAGTTAGCAACCTCTAGGTGCTGCCTTTCACTAGAGGGCTCCAGTTGAAAGGCAACCGGGTCCGGAGGCAAGGCAAGGGAGTTCTTCCCCTTGCTGACCCCAGCGCCCATAATCCCTTTGTTTGCTTGTTTTGCTTCCTTTAAAGCCCTGACAATACTCCGAGCATACTACCATCTGCTGAAGCGGGATGAAACAGGTAGCTTTAAAATGATGATAGCTCTGGGAAATGATAATCACTGGGTCATAGAAAGCTGCACTGCAGTGTATAAATAAGATAAGTAAAAGTGCTGAGGACTGCATGCTTGCTTTAATAAAATGTCTTTTCCCTTTTTGTGGAGGATGCCTTTCTCAAACGCCTGGGGAGAGAAGCTGAACTATAGACCAGAAACACGCAGACCGTTCCAGAATCTGGCCGTGAGGGTGGGATCCGAGGGGAGAGAGATGAAATATTACTTACCGAGACACAAAAGGGAAAAGGCTGGACTGGAGCCTTTTGTATTGAATTGCCCAAGCAGTAGAAGGAGATCAGAACTTCCAGGTCTTGTTCTCAAAGCTCCCCTTGGTGGAGGCCAAAATGCTGCAGTGAAAAGAAGGACTTGGCTTCTGGTGCACACCTCAGCCAGCTGCAAGGCCTTGGGAGACTCAGCCTCTCTGAATGCTTGTCCTCTCATGTGCAAAAAGGGATTAACAACTCACAAGGCTCCAGAAGGGTTTTAGTGGTGCATCAACTTTGTTGCCTGGTACATCTCTGGTGTTTGATGAATAGTACTGGTGAAGACTCGGGGATGAAAATACTGATTCAAAGATGATGGTGATGCCGATGGTGGTGGCCCATGGGCTTTCCCTGGAAAGCAGCTACACATCCAGAATCCTTAACATCTTCAGTAGCTTGAAAGTCGCCGTGCCCTGTGGGACATCTCACTGGAAGGATTTCTTGTACAAAGAATTTCAGTGACTAAGAACCAAGGCTAAAAATATGGGCAGCTTCTGGATGTTAGCAAATACAGCATTTTTTCTGGGTTTTCTGCCCATAGGAAGCATTTTCACTACGTTACTCCATTTTATCCCCATGCCTGCAGTGTGCAGCAGCCAGGACAGGCACTAAATTCCTATTATACTGATGAGGAAACCTAGGCTCCCAGAAGCGCAAGAGAAGAGTGGTACCTGGACTGAAGGCTGGGATATCTGCTCTCTAGTCTAACACGGTGCTACTGCCCCAAATTTTCTACCAAGAAATAAAAGTCTAGCACAATTTCAGATGTACCCCCTCAGCCAACCCTACCATATGGTCATCTAGCCTATATCTGAGACAACATGACAGTCCCCTTAGTCATCTGTGTTCTCCAATCCTGACACAAAGAATATTCTGGAAAACCCCTTTTCCTTTAGGAAAAGAGTACCTATTAACCAATACAAAAATGCATCTTCCAACCACTAGACAATTGGCAGGGAAGCAATTGAGAAAGTTCTGGAGGGCTTTGCTCCACCTCCCTGACCAAGTAGAGTTGGCCAGGACCTACTAGATGTCAGCCTAACAGGGCATCCTCCTTCTCCATCCATAAGTACAATGGTGAGTATAGAGAGTCCAGTCTCATCTCCACAACAGTCCTACGAGAAAAACAGAGTCAGAGCCCTTTCTTCAGCTGAGGAAGCCCAAGTCAGGAACAGTATGCAGGAACAAAGAGGTACCTCTTGAAGGGCCAGGCCTTATCACAGAAACTTCCAAGGTCTCTGTACTACATGAACAACTGCTTCTAACTAGGACGCAACAGAAAATACATAAAGCAAGCAAATTGGTCTTTTGATGTGTGTCGCTAAAGAGTTGTGTTATTTCTCCCCGTGACAAACATGTCTTAGAAACAATTCTTAAAATGGAATGATTGACTTTGGCTCTTTGTTTCCAAAGCCTCAGTTCATGATCACTTAGGCCCATCACCATAGGTCTGAGGTGCCTAAACATCATGGCAGAAAGGTGTAGCACAGCCACTCACCCCATGGCAGCCAGGAGGTAGAGAAGCAGGGGAGGGATCGAGGGATGAAATACCTCTCTCCCAAATACAGGGGGGGTGATCGAGGGATGAAGTACCTCTCTCCCAAGTACAGGGGGGTGGTCGAGGGATAAAATACCTCTCTCCCAAGTACAGGGGGGTGATCAAGGGATGAAGTACCTCTCTCCCAAGTAGAGGGGGGTGGTCAAGGGATAAAATACCTCTCTCCCAAGTACAGGGGGGGTGATTGAGGGATGAAGTACCTCTCTCCCAAGTAAACCCCGTGACCTACTTCCTCTACAGGGGGTTACTTCTTACTTTATTCCACTGTCCAACAATGCCATCACATTAAGAACCCATCCAGGGATGAGTGAGCGTTGGGGAATATTGTTTTAACTGGGCAAAGATGTGTTACATGTGTTTATGCTGCCTTTGTTGAACAATGTGAGGATGTGTGTTTAATTATGTAAAGATGTATTGCATCTGTTAGGCACCTGACTGGTCTTATAAAAAGTTGAACATCCAAAAGCTACTCAGGAGAGGGATAGGCGGGGCTGGCAGGAAGAGAGAATAAATATGAGGAGAAATCTAGGCTCAGGAGAGGAACAAGGGAAGGAGGAGGAGAGAATGAGGGAAAAAGAGAGGGGTACACCTGGAAAAAGAAGCCAGGCAGCTGTCAGACACACAGACAGACAGACTTAAGAACCAGTGATAGTAAGATATACAGAAGGAAAGAAAAGTAAAAAGTCCCAAGGCGAAAGGTAGGTAAAGAGAAACAGGTTAATTTTAGTTAAAAGAGCTCGCCAGAAACATGCCTAAGCTAAGCTGAGCATTCATAACTAGTGAGAAGTCTCTGTGTCATGATTTCAGAGCTGGTTGGTGGCCTAAAAGAAAAATCCTGGTACAGTTGAGTCCATCGTTTAGTTCAGAGCCCTGATGACACAAAAATTACTCGATGACTAGGTATACCAGATGACAACAGGTCTTCCACAAAAGCATCAGGTCTTTTGAGGATAATCTATGTCCAAAATATAACAACAGTTTGGGGAATCAATCTTTCTTCAGGCTCTGGGCTAAGACCTGGGTAACTCCGTCTTTAATCTTTACGTCAGCGTGTTAGCTGCCCAAGAGCGACAGGTCTGTTTGCGGAGTTCCTTAGCTCATTGCGTCCCATGATCAGCCGCCATGAAAGAAGCCTTTCTGCAGTTTCATCACAGGCAGTAAGCTTCACTCCGGTTGGAGTAGATTAACTCGTGTGCCTGTCTCTGAACCAGTCACAGCGGGTTAAGGGGAAAGATTCCCTCATGAGCTATCCAGAGCCAACACTAGAATCCCACAAACCCTGTGTGGTTGACTGTGGGAGGGATGGTTTTCCTCTGGAAATTCAAGATGCTAATGTCCCATAGAAGAGGTCATGACACTGGGAAGAAATCTTGCCATCACACCTTTTAAAAGGAAAGCCCAGTGTGAACCCTAGCAGCATTCACTTCAGGATATCTAGCCAAAGGGCAGAGGATAGACAGATACTTTTGTTTTAAGTTGGGGCTTACTTATCAAATCACCACCTCAAAGAAGAGACATGATTCTCTCATTTCTAGAGACTGAGAGGCTCCAAACATATGACGGCACAGACCCAGGGTCTAGTGGACCCGCCCTTCCTCTCTCATAGACTTGTGTACTCACACAGCTGAAAGAAAGAGAAGGTATGCTTCCCGGTGCTTTTCAGTAAGTGCGTTAGTGATGTTAATGAGAAGGCTCTAGCACACGATAACATTGCCTCCTGATGCCCCTAACTCTCGATGTCAACAACTTAGGAGACAGAATCGCAACATGTAAACTACGGGAGAATGCAAACATCCAGTCCATACTAGTTTGCTTCATGGCTGATGTTCCTTGGAACTACTTCTTCTTTTCATCCAAATTTACCTTCTGTTTGGACATAATCTGAGAAGCTGGTGGGAGACCCAATGCAAAGTGACTTCAAGTCGTTTTCTGTTTGCAAGGTGACTATAATCTTTTCCTACAACAGAAGAGGAACAGTATTGGGGGGGGCATTAAAAGCACAGACAATGCCATTCTGATGCCTGAGTCTATATGATTAGCTATACATTCACTCCAAACTATGAAACCTTGTCATTATTTAACCTGTCTGTGTCCATGTACATGCACATATAGATACACAGACGTACACAAATAAATAACAAATGAAAACTTAAAAATATTAAAGGGGATCCTTCTCATTTAAACAGTTACATGTGTCCGGTACACAGCGGTGTAAAGGAAGCATTCCCATCTCAACAGAGAGAAGCAGGAGGCAGCAGGGCAAAACCGGGCAGAGGCAAGTACTCAAACCCTGCACGTCCATTGTTGTAAATATCCAGGAAGGCGAAGATAGTTTTGGGGGTTTAGGTTTTTTGTTATTGCTGTTGTTTTGTTTCAAGAAAGGGTTTCTCTTTGTAGCTCTGGCTGTCCTGGAACTCGCTCTGTAGACCATACTGGCCTCGAACTTACATAGATCCACTGCCTCTGCCTCCTGTGTACTGGAATTAAAGGCATGTGCCACCATGCCCAGCTTGCTGTTCACATTTTGAGGAATCAAGGAGAGCACTTTAGCTAGAACCAGTAACAGATGTTTCTTTCAAAGCCCATTCCCAGTAATTCCCCTGTACAAGCAAGGCCACGCTCTGAAGCTCCAAAAGCACCGGCTAGAGTTCAAACGTTCAAACATGCGAGCCTGTGTCAGACATCTCACACACAAGCTATAGCACCGCAAAAGGAAGACAACTGTAGCCACCCAAGGATATCTTGAGAGCTAATTTATCTGATATACAAGCAATTAGCTTTCTATAAATGATCCGGTAATAAATCTCTTAAGTATTATGAGCCATGCAGTCCCTGTGGCAGCTCTGCCTTTATAGCAAGAAAATGTCCACGGATGATATTTAAACAAATGAGTGTGACTGTGTTCCAATAAAGCTTTATTTATGAAAGCAGATACCGAAATTTGCCTGGCATCGAGTAAAAGCTCGGCTTTGCAGCCATTGTAGTAACAGCGAGCGGCGGTTAACTGCGCCATCCTTTCACGAGAAGTTGCTCACACTTGGTGGCCCTCTCTGTGGCGCTTGTTGACTCTGTAGGTTGTACACCTGTTATCTCACATGATCTATGCGTCTCAGTTTATTGACTTAGCAACGTAGTACAGAGAGAAAACGCTCTGCTTCTCTAATTGGATTATCCATCACACATTTAGATGGTCGTATTCGTATGACGCACAGAGGAAAGAGTCAGCAAAAAGCTCCGCACGCTGTGGGAAACCCGGAAACCCAGTGCTGGAGTAACACATAGTGGGTAAAGAGTAATCACTATGATTTTCTGGAGCAAGTGTCTGGCGTCGTTGCTGAACATTCACTTAAGGGCGTTTACGCCCATCAAAATGATTTCTTTATATTACAGGTCATCTTTTAAGTTTCCTTCTGCACAGCCATGCAAGCATCTGGTTCTCAATCATACTAATACATCCCAAGAGGCCCAGACACAGTGGCCCATGCCGTTAATCTCAGCACTGGGGAGGCAGAGGCAAGCAGATCTCTATGAGTTGAAGACTAGCCTGGTCTACAAAGAAGGTACCAAGCCAGCCTGGGCTACATAGCAGAACACTTTCTAAGTAAAATGTGAAAATAAATAAGCAACAATAAAATACATATCAAGAGACACAGAACAATGCTGGAGTTAAATGTTAATGCTTTGCACGGGGCTAGTAACTAGGTAAAACTAATTTAAATCAAGGTAAGTCAGTGCATTTGGAGTAGAGGATGGACAGACGGACAGATGGATGGATGGATGGATGGATGGATGGGTGAATGAATAAGAAGAGGCAAATTGGAGAACTGTAAACCAGGAACATGGCTGTCAAGGATTCAGCCTTCTAAAGTGGAGTGCTGGGTGGTAAAGAGATGGACAAGGACTTTTCAAGAGCCGGCACATACATTCAGCAGAGTCCCCAAAGTCAGTCAGATACATATCTGTGAGGCAGCTTTTAACACCTCAGAATGGACACCACTCCTGTTCATTGGTGAGACAGAGGCCAGAACATAATGCTTACTACAGTCTAAAATGCCTTCTGTTAGTGGTCTGTTCATGGTATTGCTCCCTTGTCTCCTACACATAGACGGAGCTTCCTGTGAACTCAGCATTCCCCTCAAATTTGTGTACTAAGAGAGAAACCACCAATTCATAGGATGGCTGCAGCTCCCAGTCAGTATGCATAGATCAATATGCACATTACCCAGAATTTCAAGCAGAAACCCTGGGAAAAGAAAAAAATAAGGACTGCCATTGAGACTCCCCTCCCAGCAGGGGTCAACACACCCCAGCTTCCTAGTCTGCTTCTCCACCCATGGGACCAGGTAAACTGGGCCTGTTTCCAGGCCCACATTCCACTGCCTAGGGACTGCCACTGTGTCTCCCCTACCAGCTGGAGCCAACGCGCCACAGCATCCTAGTGTGCTCCTCCACCCACAAGACCAGGACTAGGATCAGGAAGAGAAGAACTACCAGAGTATGGAACTTGCTTGCACCCACCAAAAGGGAACTCTGGTCCCCTACCCACCAGGCCAGGAAGAGGCTCTTTCTGCACCCACTAAAAGAAGTGATGGGAAGGAGACAAAACAAAAACACACTCAGCAACAGAAAAACCAATATGACACCACCAGAATCTAGAGACTCTACACCAGCAAGACTCAAACATTCCAATGTAAATGAAGCAGAAGGGAATAACCTTAAAATCAACTTCATGAAAATGATAGAGGCCCTCAAAGAGGATATGTGAAAATCCCTTAAAGAGTTACAAAAGAAAACAAATCAAAAACTTAAAGAAAAGGAGGAAAAGATAAAGAAAAAATTGCAAGAAACAATTCAAACAGTGCAAGGGTTGAAAGCTGAAATGGAGACAATAAAAAAAAACGCAATCTGAAGGAATGCTGGAAATAGAAAAGCTGGGCGAATAGTCAGGTACAACAGATGTAAGCATAACCAACAGAATACAAGAGATAGAAGAGAGAATCTCAGGTGTTGAAGATACACTAGGAGAAATAGATTCATCGACCAAAGAAAATCTTAAGTCCAACAAATAAATCCCTGACACAAAATATCCAGGAAATATGAGACACTGTGAAAAGACCAAACCTAAGAATAATAGGTATAGAAGAAGGTGAAGAAAACCACCTCAAAGGGGCAGAAAACATATTCAACAAAACCATAAAAGAAAACTTTCACAATCTAAAGAAAAACATGCCAATGAAGGCATAAGAAGTTTACACAACACCAAATAGAGTAGACAACAAAAAAAATCCCCTCACCACATAATATTCAAGACACCAAATTTAAGAATAACAAAAGAATATTAAGAGCAGCTAAGGAAAAAGGTCAAGAAACATATAAAGGCAAACTTATCAGAATAACACCTGATTTCTCCATGGAAACTCTGAAAGACAGAAGGTTCTGGATAGATATTCTGCCAACACTAAGAGACCACAGATGCCAGTCTAGACTACTATACCCAGCAAAGCTTTCAATCAATATAGATGAAGAAAACAAGATATTCCATGACAAAATCAGATTTAAACAATAAGTATCCACTAATCCAGCCCTACAGAAAGTTCAGGAAGGAAAACTCCAACCCAAGGAAGTTAACTCTAACCAGAAAACCATAGGCAAAAGATAATCCCACTTTACCAACAGCCAAAAGAAAAAAGGGGTGGAAATCCGCATACAATTCCATTACCACCAACTGTTCCTAAACAAACAAGAATGAGCAATCAATAGTCATTACTATTCCTCAATATTAATGGTCTTAACTCTCCTATTAAAAGGCACAGGCAAACAGAATGGAATCAAAGACAGAAACCATCCTTCTGCTGCATGCAAGAAACACACCTCAGCTTCAAAGACAGACATTACCTCAGAGTTAAGGATTGGGAAAAGATTTTCCAATCAAATGGACTCAAGAAACAAGTGGGGGTAGCAATCCTAATATCTAACAAATTAGACTTTAAAATAAAATCAATCAAAAGAGATGAAGGAAGTCATTTCATGCACATCACAGGAGAAATCCACCTAGATGAAGTCTCAATTTTGAACATCTATGCCCAAATACAAAGGCATCCATATTCATAAAAGAAACATTACTAAAACTCAAACCACACATAAAACCTCACACACTTATACTGGGAGACATCAACACCCCACTGTCACCACTAGACAGTACCACCAGACAGAAACTTAACAAAGACACAAAGGAACTAATAGAAGTTATGATCCAATTGGGTTTAACAGACATCTATAGAACATTCCATCCAAATATAAAAGATATTAATATACCTTCTTCTCAGCCCCACATGGAAACTTCTCAAAAATGGACCACATACTTGGCAAAATAGCATAAAAATTGGAATAACTCCATGTATCTTATCAGACTACCATACATTAAAGTTAGAATTCAACGACAACACAAATTGCAGAGACTCTACAAATTCGTGGAAGTTGAATAATACGTAATTGCACCACTCCTGAGCCAAAGAAGAATAAAAAAAGAAATTAGAGACTTCCAAGAATTCAATGAGAATGAAAACACAACATACCCAAACTTATGGAACACTTTGAAAGCAGTGCTAAGAGGAAAGTTCATAGCACTAAGTGCCCACATGAAGAAACTAGAGAATAGGCACACTAGAGAATTAACAGCACAACTAAAACTCTAGAACACAAAGAAGCAAACTCACCCCTGAGGAGTAGACAGCAGGAAATAATCAAATTGAGGGATGAACTCAATAAAGTAGAAACTAGGAAAAAACAATACAAAGAATCAATGTAAGGAAGAGTTGGTTCTTGAGAAGAATCAACAAGATAGACAAACCATTGTCCAAACTTACCAAACCGCAGAGTGTGAACATGCAAATTAATAAAATCAGAAATGCAAAGGGGGACATAACAGCGGACATTGAGGAAAATGAGAGAATCATC